TTATAATAATTTTATATGTGATACACGCTGTTAAAATTATTTATTGTATCAAGGCTACTTACAATACTCGTTTATTATTGTATGATCTACCACAATTCTTAGGAGGTATTCATGATTATAATTCAATCATGTCTACTTTGTTATCGGTACTAGGTGTGTGTGTATTTTATAATTTGCACCTACGACAATCTAAACAGAAAGTCCAATGGAGTTTACTATTTGAATTTATCCGGGGTAGAATTACAATCAGTCAAATGACCAAGATGAATATTAATTATCGGGATATATTATTTCTAAGAAAATTTGTAAGGATTACTTATTTTGGTTTCAACATTGTGCTTGCATCAATGAGTAAATATTAAAATATTTTATAATTTATATAAAAAGCATTAAATACAAAACAAGTATTTGAAATAAGTTTTAAACTAAGTATAAGCTTGCTAAAGTTTTGTTATATTTAATTTATATTAAAACAAATTTAAAATTAATGTTTATATATATGCCTTTTAAACATTTAAAATAGAAAAATAAATAGAAAAATATATAATTAAATGAATAATAATTATATTTTTTATTTTTATTTACAGTGCTTATGTCATGCTTATTATTTATTACCTTGACACTAAAATTTCACACATTTAAAACATTCCTAATTTCTCTAATACCGCAAATCATCCACATAATTATATTTGATACAATCATCATGGATGGCTTAGTTATGCTTACATTTATTATCATCATAAATGTGTACTGTATCAGGGTAATTAAGCAAATTAATAAATACGATCTTGGTGTATTCAAACCAAATCTTAAAATGTTTTTAAATATTTACAAAATACATAAATGGGCAGAAACATTTATTACCCAGCATACATATTTTTGCAACGATATATCGTATTTTAACAAATTTATATCTCAAGACTTAATGTTATACATACTAACAATAATACCTATTAACCTGCTAATGTTATATCAATTTATATTTGAAAATATACAACTTAAAGGAAAAATATTTTATGATATTTTACTATTTTCATTTACGTTATGTGGGTTTTCACTATTATTTATTTACGCCTACCTGTCCAACCAAATACATAGGCCATGTGTACGACTATCACGACTACAGTGGCGTATCAATGGCTACCCGTTTTGCATGCGATTCAAACTCAGACTTATGGCGTATTTCGAGAGATTGAGTAGTAGTCGGAAAATTGGGGTAACCCTGGGGCCCACTATTACCCTGACATATCCGGTATTTTTCCAAGTAGGTGACATTAATGTTTTAAAAAATAACATACATCACTATAAATTGTTTTCTACTGTTTATTAATATAATTATTTTATTTATAGATTGTAATAAGATTTATGAGATATTTTATTCTTGTTCATAAATTGGCCGATAAATTAAAATAATAATGATAATATTAATATAGAAAATAATAAATCATATTTAAATCATAATTTGTTTTGAATATAAATACAGTTATATTGTTATGTACAGTACTTTAGGTAATCTAATAGTAGCGTGCTATAAATATTAATGTCAAATATTTCGGATGTCATAATATTATATTTATAGATAATATTTTTATGACATTCAAAATGGTTTTGCATTCAACACAGAAATATTGATTATTATTGATTTTTAATTATCCTATGATTGATGGCATTATAATATTTTCTAATGTCATTATAGCTATTGAATAAAAATATTTAAAAATTAACTATACATATAGTAAATAAAATAACTATTTGGTTGCAAAATTAATATCATATTAAATATTATATAAATATTATTTTATGATTACTAATATTAGTTAAGTCAAAATGGTTCCAGTCAAAATAAATACTAAAAATGTTTCAAACACCATTATTGATTATTATGTAAATAAAATAACTAATAAATCTGAATTGTATAAGAACAATTCATTTTTTGAATACTTGGTAATTATATGTTACATATTGTCAATGTTGAAAATAATATATTGCATCAAGGCTGACCATGAAACCCGATTAATACTATATGACCTAGCTGAATATATGGGAGGTATTCATGATTATAATTCAATTATCTGTGTATTGTCCATGGCGTTTGGTGTGTACATATTTTGTAAATTTCACCTACGACAATCAATTAACAACTCCAGCTGGATATTAATTATGAAATTTACGCAAGGTCTCATAACAATAAGAAATGTGACCAATGTAACCATTAGGTACAAAGATATTTTAAATATTAGACTATATGCAAAATATATTTATTACATACATAAACTTATTTTTACATCTATGGGTAATAATTATTTAAATTGTTAACTAGTACAATTTTCTAATATTAATAGTTTTTTATTACAGTAACTAGTACAATGCTACTATTCATTACAATTATCATAAAATTTTATTCGGTTAAAACATTTATCCTGAGCATTTTGCCACAAGTGTCATATTTTTATATTTAATGTATTCATCGTGGACACCATGGTTTGTGTTACATTTATTTGTCTGCTAGGTGTTTATGGTATTACCCTGATCAAGCATATTAATAAAACCGATATTATAATACCCAATAATGTATCTAGTAATTTTAACACCTACAACGCATTTAAATGGGCAAACACATTTATGATCCAGCATAATTATTTTTGTTTAGATATTTATAAATATAATAAATTTTGGTCAGGTATATACCTAGCGTATATATTAACATTATTCCCGGTGAACCTGCTCATAATGCACCAATTCCTGTTTGAAAACATACATTTTGCTACGAAAATATTTTTCGGTATAAGCCTATTAATTATGACCATGCTAATATTTGCCCTGCAATATGCTTTCGCGTATTTCTCTAAACAAATCCATAGCCATAGCCGACTATTATCGCGACTCCAGTGGCGTATCAATGGCTACCCGTTTCGCATGCGATTCAAACTCAGACTTATGGCGTATTTCGAGAGATTGAGTAGTGATAGGAAAATCGGGGTAACCCTGGGGCCCACCATAACATTAACATTCCCCGTGTTTTATCAGGTAATTATAATGTTACTAACAATATACTGTGTTGAATTAATAACATCATACCGTGTATGTATTATTTATATTTTTAGATTGTTTTTAGGTTTATGCGATATTTCATATTGGTGTATAAGTTTTCTAGTAAATTAAAATGATACATACTATTTTAAACGGATTACTTTTATAATACTGTATATTTGCAATATTATATAATAGTTTTTATTATTGAATTTAAAAATATATAACAATCTTATTATAAAACTTATTAATACTGTACTATTATAAGTATTTAAGTTGATATCATCAGAATGTAACAAATAAATTACAATTTTATAATTCAACATAAATATCAAATGATATACTGTATTACAGTTAATTTGTTAATTTATCATATGATTTATATTTAAATTTTATTCTGTAGAGATTATCATTATAAGTAAAATAAATAAAATAATTGTTGTAAATAATATAATTGGTTGTTATCGTAAGGGCATTAGAATGTTGTATTTTAAGTTAATCATTGTAACATACAGGTTAAAAGTTATATATTATATATAAGGACAAATATATCCGGGACAACTTTATATTATACAATGAATTGACACGGCAAAAATTCTACATTATATAAGATAATTTTAAAATTATTATTTATTTTATATAGATCAAAAAAAACATTATTACAAGTGCATTAAGTGTATTATAATGATACAATTCTTAGAATTTTATCATTCTTTAATTTTTATAATCAATAATATGTTACTTTCCCATGATAACTTTTTAAATAGTTATCACTGTCCATCATTTAACTGTTTTTTAAAACATGATTGCATAGGTTTAATATATTAAACAGAAATATAATTTGTGATAATTAAGTAACCAATGTAGTAACAACAAAATTGTGATACCTAAACTATGTACCTTATTTTGATATACAGTACTAGTAGATTGTTACTGTATGTTTTATACACCAAATATTTCTATAAATTGAGCAATTAAACTTAATGTAAAAGCTATTTACCTAAAATCATGAAGGTAATTGTAGTGTTTTCGTTATTATTGTTAGCCGTAAATGCGGTCCCATTTCTAAACAAACTAATCGAACCTCACCCGGGTAAGACATGGATAGTCTTGTGTGCCAGTGCTGATACCTGGATCAATTACGGAATGCAGGTAACTATATGTTTTAATCTCTCTCTCTCTCTCTCTCTCTCTCTCTCTCTCTCTCTGCAAATATAATTAACTTAATTATTACCCTAAAGGCCGACGTATACCACGCTTACCAAGTAATCCGTAAACACGGTATACCCGACGAAAACATTATTGTTATGCATTACGACGACATTGCATACCATAAACAAAACCCGACCCCCGGTGTAGTCATCAATAGGATAGACGGTCCGGATGTCTATAAAACCCCGTATGAGGTACCGAAACACTATACTAAGGATGAGGTTACACCAGAGGTGAACTAGTTATTTAATTAAGACGATTTATAAATTTATTTATGATTTAGTTATTATTTTACAGAACTTTTTAGCTGTACTTAAGGGTGATGTGGACTTAGAGAAACAAGGTAAAAAAGTTGTCAAAAGTGGACCAAATGATCGTATATTCGTCTACCTTGATGATCATGGTGCCGAAGGTAAACTATATATTAAATTGATAGTTATTAAATTATTTATTATTTCAAATTATTTTTATTAATAGAAACTGTAATGTTTCCCCGTGGTGTATTACACGCCATTGAATTGAACGCGGTACTCAAGAAAATGCACATGGATAATAAATATAGCGAGTTGGTATTTTATTTGGCAGCATGCGAAGCTGGTAATTTTTTTCTAATAAATATTATTCTAGGTATATTAATCACATATTTTATTATTAACTAGGATCAATGTTTGATAAACTATTGCCAACTAATATCAACGTCTATGCTGTGACCGCAACTCTACCTGGTGAATTAGGTTGGAAGTGTGAACATGATAAGAACTTACAAACTTATCTAGGTACCTTATAACACTTTATAAATACAAAACTATATTAATATTAAGTAAGTATTTTAAAATTATACAATAAATAGGTGTATATTTTGCATATAACTGGCTGTATGATAGTGAACACAATGATTTGACCAAGGAACAAATATCGACCCAGTATCAATACATCAAAGAACATAATAATTTTACCATGGACGGTGAATTGTTGTTTCAGCATGCACAACAATATGGCAATTTGTCTATTGCCAAACAACATGTTTCAACTTACATGGGTTAGTTTAAATTTTATATTAAAATTAGTAAGTTTAAAAATTAATATTAATTAACAGGAGATAAACAAGTTCAATTTAACACAAATTCATTGCCTAACAAACCTGCGGGTATGGCACCGGCACGTGATGCACCAATATATCTACTGAGACACCAAATTGAACAAGCAAATGATATGAATGAGAAACAAAAGTAATTATATTTAATTTATTAAAACAAAATTTTATTTTAAGTTTTCTATTAATTTCATAGATATGTCACAGAATTGGAGGGTTTGTTAAGCCGTCGGAAACTAATGGATAAACAGATCGCGGAATACGTGAATGAATTGCCGGCAATTGACGCCAATATCGCATTGAATGGCAAACTAGAGCTCAATAATAGGGAATGCTATCGGAAACTGGTCGACACTTTCAATGACATGTGTTATGTTTTAGGACAGGTAAAGTAATTAACTAATTAAACTTGAATTAAATAATTTTATGTTTAATTTTCAAGAATACATACGCTTTGAATAAATTGAAAGTATTTGTGAATATTTGCGAACAAATGCGTGACTCGAGTGATGCGGACATTGCTGTCAACCGATTGATACAACACTGCAATAAAAATGTGAAACCAATTGAAAGTATTATTTAAAAATACAATAATAAGTAAACATTTTCTTAAATCTAAATTATAAAAATTTTGAAATAATTAAATGATTAATATTTAAACTGTATTTTTAAATAATATTATTTATTAATACAATAAATTACAATATATATTGGCTAACATAAAATATATTTTCATGTTTTAATAATGATATTCTGTATACGAATAAAGCATTTGTAAATTATTAAGTTTATAAATATTTAATTAACAATTATATTAATAAAATAAGTTTAATACGCTTGATCATTATTACAATAGCATCTATTACAATTACAACGTTTAATATCGCACAGGGTTTTTAATTTTAGCTCCCTGTCCTCCAGCATACGACTGGCCAAATTATAAGGTAGACCATGATAGCCCTTACTAGTATAACACTCCAGGGTATTTAATTTTAATAATCTAGGCTTAAAATCTGGTATAAAATAAATCCAAACTGTAATAACATCGCCGGTATCTAAAACTACCGGCGCCTCCATCCGCATATGCCATACGGGTTGTGAACACAACTCATCCAATCTGTCCTTCATTTTGTTGTCAACCCTATAGATGTCGCCAATGACTCGCTGTTTGAAAAATAAAATTTTATTACAGTTTTAATATAAACAATGAAATATACATACCTTTCCGGAATGCCTACGATATAAAAGGATAGGTATGTTATGCTCGGAGACTATCACTAGCGGCCACTCGTCCACAGTCTGTGCCCTCCCGTAAAACTCGGAGTTCCCGTAATAACCGGTTTTGTCGGCGACATAACGGTTGTTAGGCTCACCTGTAAATTGTGTCAGGCGTAAAAGGTTCAGGGTATTTATATTTTGTGTAAACTATCAATATTAATAAGGTAATCATTTATAACAATACCTCGTTTAATAGTCCCATAGAAAAACACGTAATGTCTGTCCATTTAAAGTTAGTATTTTGCGTATTATTTTAATATTTAATTTATTGTTATTGTTATTAATAACTTATTATTAATGTTACAAACCTTGATAGCCATAGTTGCCTTGACAACAAATAATATATTATACAATTGTTTATTGTTGAAACCGTATAAAACTAGTATTAATTAAATCATAAAAATATTGTTAATTAAATATCTTAAGAATAATTATTTAATGATAAAATAAAATATATAAATACCAAAAGTTTTATGAATGTAACTTATTTTAAATCACATTTTAATTAATTAAATACAGTATAATTATATATAAACTATGACATAAGATGTATGTAATAGTTTTCTTAGAATATATATTTAAAAACTTATAATCTTTATTAATAATTTTAAAAATTATTAGGTATAGTGCATATATGCTCAGTGTAATTTTGATAACAATGCATGGGGTTATTTTTGTCACATTATAAAAATATCAGTCAATATCGTATGAAATATCTATTATGTTGTATTAATTAAATATTACATTATTTAATAGTTATATCATATGACAATGCAATGTAACTGTACATTGATAAAGTACATCAATAACAAATAAATATTAGATAATTAATACTATTTGAACAGTATATAAATAATGAGACTTTTATACAGTTATTATTAAAAACTTATTAATATTAACATTATTTAAAAAATCTAAATATTTTTAAATTTATAATGAAATTATTAATTGTACTCGCATTATTTGTAATTGCTGCTAATGCTGTACCATTTGCTAAACATTTCACCAAGGCAAATAAAGGTAAAAATTGGATCCTATTATGCGCTGGTAGTAATGGGTGGTATAATTACGCTGACCAGGTAAATATTTTTAAAACTATAAATAGATATTATCTTATATTATATTTATACCTAGGCCATTGTATACAAAGCGTGGCACTTATTCCGGTCATACGGTATACCCGAAGAAAATATAATTATTTTTCATTACGACGATATCACTAATAATAAGGCCAACCCTACACCCGGTATAGTCATTAATGACTTCAACGGCACCGATGTCTATAAGGGTGTCCCAAAAGACTACACCGGCAAAGATGTTACGCCTAAAGTATTTAAAATTGATTAAGCTAGTTATAAAGTAATTACTATACTATCTTATACCTAAAGTATGGTATTATATAATTATTTTAAAATTGATTAAGCTACTATGTGCTAATTATTATGCTATTTACTTAAGAATTTCTTAGGTGCTCTACAGGGTGACCAAGAATTAGCGAACCAAGGTAAAAAGGTTATCAATAGTGGACCTGACGATCATATATTTGCTTATTTTGGCGATCATGGAATGCCTGGTAATTACTGTTTGGCCTTGAGTAGTTTAAATGTTTTAGATCATTGTATGAAATAATTTATTTATCATAAAATAAACAAGGTGCTGTTATGTTTGCCACTGGTCAACTATATGCCACAGACTTAAACAAAGCCCTAGTAGATATGCATAGTAAAAATAAATTTGCCAAGCTCGTATTTTATATTGATACTTGTGAATCAGGTAATTATATATAATAATAACAAACTTAAGTGTATAAAGTATATATATAATTAGAAAATTTAAAAATTATTTTCAGGATCAATGTTTGATAAACTATTACCGGCTAACATTAACATATATGCTGCCACCTCGTCGACACCAAAAGATCCTAGCTACTTCTGGAAATATGATAAAACTTATAAAACATTCCTAGGTAGTAATTATCAAATAATTGTAATATATTTTATTTATAACTTGCTTATACAAATATTATTTTTTTTAATTAAGGTGCCTGGTTTGCTAGTTACTGGCTAATAAACGATGAGGCAGTTGACCTAGATACTGAAAATTTTGACCAACAATTTAAATTGTTTGCCGATAGGTATAACGTTACTGAACCCACATCACCTGGCATACAACATGCTCAACGATATGGTGATTTAACCATGGGCCCTTTAAAAATTTCAGAATTTTTAGGTTGGTAGATATTTTTAATTATTTTTAAAAAATAAATGTAATGTTTTCTAGGTAATATTAATTTAAATTTTAAATTTAAATTTAAACTACTAGGTCATAAACCGCATAATTATACGAGTAAAATAAATGTGCATGATAATGAGAAAAATTATGGCGCTGTCATCAAATGGGATGCACCACTGTATATACTACAGAGACGTATCAGTGAGACAAATGATGTGGATGAGAAAAATGAGTAAATTATTTTGTGACAAATATTTTATTAAATAAAACAAAATATTTATTTATTATATATTTTTATAGATTAACTAAAGAGTTGGAGACTATACTGAAAGGTCGCGAATACGTGGATAACGTGTTCAATGAATACGTGAATAGTATTCAACACTTAATGCCAAACATCGCAACCAATGCTATACTCCATACGAAACAAGAGCTCAATAATCATGAATGCTATTGAAAGGTCGCGAATACGTGGATAACGTGTTCAATGAATACGTGAATAGTATTCAACACTTAATGCCAAACATCGCAACCAATGCTATACTCCATACGAAACAAGAGCTCAATAATCATGAATGCTATCGAAAACTGGTCGACACTTTCAATGATAAATGTTTTAATTTGAACAAGGTAAACAATAGTTATTTTTAATTGTTAAATAATTATTATACATTATGTTATTGTTTTTCTAGAATACGTATGTTTTAAGAAAAATGCAAATATTTGTGAATATTTGCGAACATATGACTGAATCAAGTGATGCCGATATTGCTGTCAATCAATTGGTACAACATTGTCAGCAAAATGTTAACAATCAATTTACTAATATTATATGAATGTGAATTACCTATCAAAATTAAAATAATATAATTAAATTTACAAACCTAAATTTTAAATAATCTATTAACTGGTTAAATGATTGTAATGTATTTTAAGTGCAGAGTTAAAAAATATTTTATATAACTAGTAAAGTATAATTTTAAAAATATTTGTTAGGAAAAACTGTGAAACAAAATGTTTATTATGCAATATATAATTATAACCTAATTAATAGCAACTGTAAAAAATAAACTTTGTTCACATACAGATTTTAATTGCATTAAACACTGAGTATACGTGATAATAATCATAGGAATCATAAAAAACTAATAAATAAAATAATGTTTGAAATCCTATCAAAATTAGTTAATATGTAGTTCTAAGTGGATGTGAATCGGCGGCGTTTCCGGTACTTCCCGTTTATCCGACACATCCTCTTCCTCTTCATTCTGTACAACAATAAACTACAATATATATCATAAAACTGACTGTTAATTTGTTAAGCATTTTATTTAATGGTCTATTCATATTATACATTATGCATTATAATTAAACTTGTGGTCTATTCAATAATGGTGTTTCTTATATATGAATAAAGTTTCTGATACTTGAATTACCTGCGTACTATAAATAACAATTTTATTTGTATTTAAAATTGTATTTAAAATTGTATTTGTATTATAGTAATAATATAATATTATAGATTGTAACTATAGAAAGCGTGCACACCTTATAATAGTTATATGCTAAAATTTTCAAATAAAACTCACTGTTGATATTCATATTTTATTTTTGTGTTAATATCACTATTATAACACTGTTAATAATAATATCATAATAATATCACTGTTATTTTGTGTTAATATTAGTATATTAATCCGCCATTGTACAATATTAATTTGCTATGTATTTCATTTCAATGAGCAATTGACACCATATGGGTTTTGATGTCACCTTAATTTACTAAAAATCATTGCAATTTTGTTTGTTCTCTCATTTTGATAAACAACACAAAAAGTAAAACTTGTTATATTTTTTCATATTGTGAACTGGTCATTTAGTTCTAAATACTGGTCATTTATATACTGGGTAAGTAATCGCATTTTTATAAAAGCAATTTCACCTTAATACTCTTGTATTGTTATTACTCATTTATTTAAGTGTAAAATATACCGGTCTTTATTTTTATATAATCGGACACCTCAAAAATAATTATAGCATATATTATTACAATAAATTATTGAAAAATTTACATTACAATGCTACATTACTACTCAAAGTGTGACATAAAGTAGGTAATGTCCAAGTCAGCTGTATCCCATTATCAACTACGCAGTTCATCATCACCGACCCCTGGTTCAAGTAGTGGTCGATCACCTGATCTATCACCGAAAAAACAAAAAACCCGACCTGTTGAACCTAAAATCGAAAGTGACTTTCAACTCTCAAATAACATTAAAAATGATTTAAACCAAATCAACAATGCCATCATTAAGATTGGAGATAAAGCCTTATATTATGACCAGGCTGGAATTGATGTAATTAAAAGAATTTTTGAGTTCGGCCAAAAGTATAGTGCCACTTCTGTTGCTAACTGGCTTAAATTCCGTGATATAAATCAAATTAATAAATCAGTTACCGAATCTTTAAATAAAAAAAGCTGAACCAAAAACTTCAAAAACGATGTAAAGGGCCGACTGATAAAGTTGCCAAATGTTCTAGGCTTCCTCCACACGGTTAATGCCATACCGGAACTCAAGTACTAAAGATATACCTTTTAACTAGGTCTTAATGATATTGTCAAGTATAAAAACACACTGATTGGACGAATTTACGAACGATTCAACTTGTTCATAGATGATAAAGAAAATGATATTTTCGGGGACACAATTGAGGGTTCGCATATTTGGTATAAAGAAAGCGTAACACCCTGTATCAAATTATCACTAACTAACACACATATTACGAGAAAATTTAATAAAATGGGAAGTTAATTTGTGTTAAAATTCTATTAATATAATTATAATTTTATCATAAAATTTTAATTAACCACACCGAGTTCATAATGGCTTTATATTATATTAATATTGAAAACATTAATTATGAATACGATTGGCCAAGACGTGGAATGGAAAAAAGTGAAAAATTTAAGCACATTTTAAACGATAATGAAATAGACCAATTTAATTGCTTGCTTGGTGGAGATGATTGCAATTGGAAATTCATGGTCGACCCAGCTATGCTCTTTCCATATATAGTTAAACCCGCTGCATTATATGCACTATCCAAGGTTGATGATGAAAATTTTATAACATTTTGTAATTATTTCACATTTGCATTTTCGGAACTACATATATTATTTAAGAGGCTCTGTCGTTCCGAAAATGATTATCAATATAAAGAAATAGACATGGGCATACTCGATACAAAGAGACCAAGACATATTCGATATATTACGAAAATCGTTAAAAGTGGATTTGGCCATTTATTTGATATTGATAATGGTTTAAGTGATACGGCTATGACCAAATTTCTAGCGCTGTATACTAATCATAAAGATGAATTAGAAAGACATAAAACGATTTGGAGGTACAAAAATTTAGACGACGATAATGAAAGTCAAAGACAATATTCGCTTGCCGAAATTATTAATCGCGATGGAATTCCATTTCGTAATAACCTTGCGTTCATAGCTCATTGGCGAAATCATTTATTAGATCCTCCTTATGATCAAAAAGGAATGACAATGAATGATTACTACAAGGGAGCACGTGATACAATTAAAAATGCATACTATTTAGAAGGTGGCACAAAATTCAACTTCGCAAATAAAATTACTGGCACTGGCTATTATAAATTTGTGGTCGTAAACGGTGACGGATCCATTTATATAAAAACGTTTTATCCGACAAAATATGTAAAAGATTTAGACAAATATAAACGTGTGAGAAACAAAATGAAAGTGACAAAGCGTTGAAAATATTTTTCGTTCGCAAATAAACATTTTTTTGTGGACAGAGTATTAATCGTAATGATTAACAGTGATTAGACTTACCAAGTCTAAATACGGTACTCCACTAATAATATAAGTGTGTGTTGCTCATTTTTGATCTTTTGCTGTCGATACCCAGGTTATGAACCCGATGTGTTAATGCTATTAACTTAGGATTCTGTGAATATTTTTTAAATGACTATAACTAAGCCAGTATTGTTTTAATTTATACATCCAATCGTATAGTATATATAAGTTAAACAATGCACTTATAGATATGTACAAAAATAATAAATTTGCAAAATTAACATTTTATATGGACACTTGCAATTCAAATATAGTGAACAACCTGGTTAAAATTACACAATAGTTAATTAAAAAAATTTGTTATTTTACATGAAGCTCAATGTTTGACTAACTACTGTCAAATGACATAAACATTTTCACAATTATTTCATCAATGCCTACGGAAGTGAACCATTTCTCGAAATATGACAAAACGTTGAAAATATTTTTATGTGACCATATATCCATTTGAACTTCCATTTAAGCAATTTAACTTTCGTTTTAATATATATATAATATAATAATAATTACTATCATGGGACAACCAATGTTAAATAATATTTTAAAATTCATTCCATAATGAAATCATTTTTGGGTTTATATTTTGTACATTTATAATATAACGAAATAAACACATTTAATTTAAACAAGGTATATATATTATACAATAGTTATTTTTATTGTTAAATATTTATTAAATTTAATGTTATTGTTTTTTTAGAATTTAAAAATATTTGTGAATATTTTTTGCGGACATATAACTGAATCAAGTGATGAGGATATTGTCGATCAATTGATACAACATTTCAGCAAAATATTAACAATAAATATATTAATATTATATATATTAAGTGTTAAATACCAATCAGAATTGATTTAATATAATTTTATTTAACAAATAAACCATGAGTTTATAATTTGATTGTATACATTTTTAATACAAATTAAAATTGTATTATTAACAAATGAAAATAAATTTTTTTGTCTGGCTAGTACAGTATAATTTTTAAAAATATGATCATAGATAACCTCATAAAACATGTTAATAATTATAATGCAAATAGTATCAAATATAAGAAATATTATTTTCACATACATTTTAAATTGTATTATACACTGATAAATATTGTATAGGATTTTTGATAACTAATTTATAATAGTATTATAAAATCTCTTAAGCAGTGTTAGAATTATAAATTTTCCAGCAATGGCATTTTAATAAATATTTGATTAAATTTTGTATTTAAATATAAACTACATACTGTAACTATATAACATATAATATTTGACAAATATGTTTTTTGAATTAGATATAATTAATTAATATTATAACAATGAAAATAATAATTATATTTTCAGTATTTATTTCAATAATAAATGCGGGTCCATTTGTTAAGTTTATGACTAAGGACCCTAAGGCTAAAAATTGGATAGAACCATGTCCTAGTAAAAATGACTGGAGAAATTATGCTGAGCTATTTCTGGAGATATGACAAAACTTTGAAAGTATTTTTAGGTGACCATGTTGAAGAAAGTGACCTTGATACAGAAACCCTGTATGACCAATATAAATATTTTGCTGAGAAGTACAATGTTACCGACCCAACTGTCCCGGGTATACAGCATGCACAGCAATATGGTGATTTGTCTATTGGTAAAATGCATGTTGCTAATTTTTTAGGTAGATATAATACATAAATTATCTATATGCATACTTTTTAAAACTTTATTAATTACAGGTCATAAACCTCATAAATATCAAGTTCATAATAAAGTTGATGAACTGGATCAAAATTATGATGCCGTAAACAAATGGGATGTTTCACTGGATTTACTTCAGAGACGTATTGATGAGACTGAGAATAGCAACGAGAAAAATATGTATAGTTTTTATTATTATTATTATTTGTTTTTAAATAAATTTTATTATGTTTTAGGTATGTGAAAGAGCTGGAACAATT